GTACCGGACCCCAGTCCAATTCAGAACCATCCTCAAGGACCCCCAGAACAAAATTGACTCGTATCATTTGTGTCTTTGTGAGGACCAAATGCAGTCAAGTATAATTCAAGTTAGTTGACTTGTCCAGTATTTGGCCATATCATCAGCTATATTGGATTTTTCTTTCATGGGAACATGTCATATCAAAATATACAAAATGTATACAAAAATTCATACTTTATACGGACCCCCTGGCCTTATGTCAAGGACCACTAGGGGTCCACGGACCCCTGGTTGAGAAACGCTGCACTAGACCATGCGTACGCATTCTTTTTTCCTGGAGTGAAAAAAGTAATGAAGTAAACAACCATTTTAAACTCTGTTTTCATTTCGATATACACATTTACATTAAATATTCCACTCTCATTAATAGAGATAAGCACTGAAGTTAAACAAAAATTATATGAATTTAGACTTATTTAGTGGATGTGCTTGATCACTTTTCCTTAGTCATGCTATGTTTTAATGACAGCGAGGAGTGCTATATGTGCACAATAATTCATATTTAAACTAAACTGCAGATCTCAAGTTGTGAGAAAATATTTTAAGTGAGATCAATGATCAATGATGCTCACTTACTTCGATGGCAGACACTGCTGGATTCAGTGGTCGAACAGTCCATTGTCCGGTTTGAATAGCTCCAATGATAGCTTACTGTACAACCACAGCTGTATGTGTTGATGCCGTGCGAAGGCATCTCCACAACTTTTTTGATGAATACCACTGTATTTGAAGGATACAACTTGAAGAAAATGGTAATTTGCATGTTTCATTTATATTTACACGGCAATAAATATAGGCTAAAAATAGCAAAAAAATTTATAGAATAGAATAATTAAATAGCTGCATAAATTAAATTTGATTTTTTTTTTTAAACAATTGAAATACTATTTGGCCAGTGGAAAAGAATGAGATCAACTCTATTCTAAAAAAATTGAGAACTATTTTAAACAGTTTTGTTTTTATGGATTTTGATATATTTATGTTAAAACATAACAAGGATACTGGATGATTTTTAGCAATACAAATTGTGTATGGCACAAATCCCATTTATAGTCCGTATTTCATATTTCCTTAAATGTCTTGTACCTTTGACAGTATTAAACATGGTGTCACGTGGATGGGAATATGCATGGAAATTATATGCAGATGAGGTTATGCATAGTAAAACTAGGCGTTGTAAGCTTCATATATGGTGATTTCGGGGAGGAGTCGGAGTGGAGATGCACATACGCACAATCTTCCCCTGACTGGGATTTATAAAGGGATTTTTGCGCAGGTTCTGGCGCACGCATGGTTTTATAAATCTGAAAACTTTTGAGTGTACGCAAAATCTAGCTTTTGTGCATATGTACACTTTTAGGATGAAATCTACGTTGAGTTTTATAAATGAGACCCCAGGACTCTTATCAAATGTGTGAAGTTTGGGGCAGATCGGACATTGTATGCATGAGTTACAACAACTTCCTGTTTCATGGTATTACTAGCATGCTTTAGCACTTAGTAAGTGTTGCTAGTATGTTTGAGCAAGTTTTAGCATGTTTAGAACTCAATGGCTTATTTTAATGTGTTGCTTATAGTCCATCACAGTGTTGTACATGTCACTTCCTGTTGCCAGCAGGTGGTGCTATGACTATAACTGAATACAGGGCATTTAGATGTGTTCAGGACAGGACACTTATCAAACTTGTTAAATTTGTGGCAGATTGGACACTGCATGCCTGAGCTACAATAACTTCCTGTTCACTGCATTAATACCATGCTTTAGCACTTAGCTAAATGTTGCTAGCATGTTTTAGTATGTTTCTAGCATGTTGCCAGCCTATTTAACACTTGCTGACACTTTTAAATATGTTCCTAGGAGTCCATAACCGTGTTAAACATGTCACTTCCTGTTGCCAGCAGGTGGTGCTATGACTATAACTGAATACAGGGCATTTAGATGTGTTCAGGACAGGACACTTATCAAACTTGTTAAATTTGTGGCAGATTGGACATTGCATGCCTGAGCTACAATAACTACCTGTTCACTGCATTAATACCATGCTTTAGCACTTAGCTAAATGTTGCTAGCATGTTTTAGTATGTTTCTAGCATGTTGCCAGCCTATTTAACACTTGCTGACACTTTTAAATATGTTCCTAGGAGTCCATAACCGTGTTAAACATGTCACTTCCTGTTGCCAGCAGGTGGTGCTATGACTATAACTGAATATGGGCATGGGTATGTGTTCAGGACTTAACATCTATCAAACGTGCAAAGTTTGGGGCAGATCGGACATTGCTTTCCTGAGTACCAGCAACTTCCTGTTTCATTGCGTAACATCAAACTTTGTCAGGCTGCCAGGGACATGCCCCTTGACGAAAACTCAAGATCTTCACAATTTAACGTCACAAAGGCCTTTTGATAACCCTCACCAAATTTAAAGGGGTCATATGATGCTGCTAAAAAGAACAGTATTTTGTGTATTTGGTGTAATGAAATGTGTTTATGGTAAAGGGTATGGTCTAAGGTAAAAAAAAACACATTATTTTCCACATACTGTACATTATTGTTTCTCCTCTATGCCCCGCCTTTCTGAAATGCATCGATCTTTACAAAGCTCATCGGAAGGAAAAGCAAGGTGTGCTCTGATTGGCCAGCTATCCAGTGCGTTGCGATTGGCCGAATACCTCAAGCGTGTGACGGAAATGTTGCGCCCCTCAACATACTGTGATGATGCCGTCAGGCCAAGAGTGAGCAGAGGCCGGGGGATAAAGTGAGGAACAGCCGGCGCAGAGGCGGCGGGCTTGAGAACGGCGCGGCCAGCGGATTCGACGAAGGAGGCTTGCGGGAACCACATGTGACGACCCCGGGCTGGACTCCGCTTCGTCCACGGTGAAAGCCGATCCGGAGATCCACAGCGCAAAGTTGTTGTATTTCCTCATCGACCAGCACGGATCAGCTCCAGGCATGACGAAGCAGATATCATCCTCTTTTGGAAGGCCAAACAAAGTAGTTTCGCTTTCACAACGAAACACACAGCACCTTCACGACATGGCGGCGTCAACAACAATACTACAGCGAGAAAAAAATGTATGCCTTCTTTCTTTGCGTGAACATTTGGGCGGTGTTATGCAAATCTTCCCACATAGTGACGTAGAGATGTGGGGGCGTGTTAGAACGAGCCGTTTTAGGTAGGCGTGGTTAAAGGCTGATTTATACTTCTGCAATGGATCTACGCTGTAACCTTTACGCCGTAGGCTATGCGTCAGTTTTCATTTATACTTCTGCGTCGTTGTCCGCGTCAACGTGCAGTACACATGCAAACCGCTAGTCTGCAGTGTCCACGGGCATGTTGCTGGTGTAACCTGCAGTACCACGGCAAAAGCCGAAGAAGAAGCGGCTCGTTGGAGAAGCATTATAGTCGTGACGGCGGCAAATAAATATCAAATCATTAAATCATTATTTAATACTACAAAAAGGAGACAACAACGGAACAGGAGATGATGGCATTCTTTCAATCTGCACAAGGACTTGTAACATTAAAATATATTAAAGTGCACATAAACGCACACAAAACTCAAGTACATATGGAGGGAGGGGTTCTTGCAGACCAATCACAGCGCTTGCGGTCTGCGTAGAATTGACGCGCTGTTAGATTTTTGGAGAGGTGCATGTCAGGCTACGGCGTATGCGTGTGTGTCTATGCGTAAGCTACGGCGTAGGTCCGACGCAGAAGTATAAATTGGGCTTAACTCTTAACTTTTATAAAGAATATCTCTTTGGATTTGAGACTTTAGTCTTTGCAAGATCTTCTTTATGCACCAAGAGCTTGTAACACTCCAAAGAGAAAGGAAAAATTTAAATCGCATCATATGACCCCTTTAATTCCTGCTTGTAGTAATTTAATGTGTATATATTTTTAAAGCATTGAATCGCGATTCATTCGAATCTTAGCGTTTTAAATCAATTACTATCCGAAATCGGCAATTAACGATTAAAAATTCATGTTTCAAGATCGATGCATATGCATCGTCAGGGTTTATAATCAATGAATCAAGAAAACGAGTGAATCGTTACACCCCTATTTGGACAAGATTAGGCTGGGTATGGCTCAGTTTTGGGGTTTCTGGTTAAAGGCTGGTGTTGATGTGGTTTGCTTATCACTGAGAATCTGTACCAGTAATAAAACCTGTTCTGGCCCACTTTAGGGCCAGTTATAAGTTATTAATTGCTGAGACTTGGCCCAGTTATGGCCCATGTGTGGCCCCTGTCTTTAATTCAGATTAGGGCCACTCCAGGGCCGTCATTCATTGCGGTATGTGGGCCGAGGGAAAAGCGGTTGTGTGGACCGGAGCTGGGCCAGAAGACAATTGCTATGTGGGTGTGTCATAAATTTGAAAGGACAAATACACACAAAAATATCCTATATCAAAATTTCCTTCTAAACACAGTCGGTTGTGTCTTAAGTCTCAGATATTTAGACAGACACATAACCCATGGATGTTATTTTTCATGCTAAACCTGTTCAAATTTTGTTATTTTTAAAATTATTATTATTTATCTTTTTTTTTTATAAGGATACATATCATTGTCAAGTGTTTTTATTTATCTTAATTTCCATATTTACATGCTGCAACGTTGTGTGATTTTCAATGAAATATTTGACTATTAATTCGCTCGTTTTTCTCCTCTAATCCTCACTCACGAAGACTGTTGATGCTGATCAAATACCATGTGAGGCTAATTTTAATTCCTTTTCGTTTAATTGTGTAAGATCGGCTTTTTGTAAAGAAAGAAAGAAAAAAACCCCAGCTCACTTTCTAACAGCCTTTTTAAGGAAAATCAGCGCACCTTATAGTTATACACGCACTGAGTAATTTTCCCTGTATTATGTCAATATGTCCCTCCTCTCGCCGCTTCACTCCAGTCCAGCGGGTGGCGCTAAAACACACGTTTGTTTGTCAAACACCATTAAACCTCAGAGGAAGAAGGTTAGTTTCACCGCGCTCTCTGTTGTTTTGTCGTGCTGCTCGTTTAATACAAACGGTTAGAATGTTGTTTCTGTAAGTAGAAAAATACAGTTTTTGAATCATATCAGTAAACACCTGTAATATTCTCATCCTCACAGTCGTGACTAAGTTTTGAGGCAAGCAGGAATATCTGGAGGAGTATCATCTGAACTGAGGTCTGCTGCTGTGAAGATGATGTTTGTTAAAGAAGAGAGAGTCGAGGACACGAGTGAACCAGAAACCTGGAGAATAAGACACGAGGAACCAGAACCACTTATAATAAAACACAAGGAACCAGAACCCTGCAGAATAAAACACGAGGAACCAGAACCCTGCAGAATAAAACACGAGGAAGGAGGTTGGTCTTTACTCTTCATTTGTCTTTAATGACTGTTTGTGGACTGAATGTGTCACACAATCATTAGGCTTACAAACCTTTAACTCTTGAGTGGATTTTTGGGTCCTCCTGGAGAAATTTTTACATGCCCTGACATTTTCCCCCAGTATCTAAAAACATAATGGCTTAAGTCTGATTACACTGTAATCGGCACAAACTGTGCTACAATAATACATGAGCAGCATGAATGTAGCTTACATGATTGTGTTTTTGAGAAAACATTTGTTCACAAGACTTTTGAGAACTGGATGTGGTAGACTAGAGTTCTTGCTACAACATGTGAATATCATCCTGCTCACTCATTCACAGAAAACAATATGATGATATGTTATTTTGAAGAATGTGTGTAACCAAACAGTTGAACAGACTTAGAATTTTGTCTGTTCAAGACTTAGTACTTGACCATAGTATTTTTCCTGCTATCAAATCTGGACCAGCTACTGTTTGGTTACTCACTTTTTTCAAAATAACTTCTTTTGTGTTCAGCAGAAAAAAAATATTAATACAGGTTTGGGACAATATGTGAGTGAGTAAATAATGACAGAAATTAAGTAGAGAGGGGGGTGTGTTGTGTATTTTTATTTTTTAAATAGGGCTATCAAGTGATTATTTTTTTATGTAATTAATTACATAACTTTATTAATCAAATTAATGACATTACTTAATAACTTTATCTTGAATTAATCGGCACATTTTGTGTTACAGGTAATTTAAAGTTATCTTTGTGTTAAATTAGAAAATCACTGAATAGACATTATAGTAGCTTTAGAAAGAAACTAATTACACATACAACAATACAGATAAATAATGAAATATGAAATGATTTAAAAAAAGAAATGATGCTCTAAAAATACAACTAAAAGCGCCACTAGGTGTCTTAATGCCGGTTTCACACTGCACTTGTAAGCAGAGCGTATTTTATTTTCGGCAGCGCGTAGCAGGAGCAGAAGCGGTAGTGCTGCATGATTAATCGAATGTGATTGTCATGCGCATTTTTTTGGTAAAGCCGGTTCTGTAATCAGCAGGAAATCATCATCACATGCTTTCAGATGGAGCAGCATTTACTACACAGAGCCGTAGTTCACTGACAAGTTACGCTAAAAAAAATCGCAGACGATTTTATTGCGCGATTCTGAAATCGTTTGCGATAATGACGGCTGTTTGCATAGCTTCTCAGTGAACTACGGCTCTGTGAAGTAAATGCTGCTCCATCTGAAAGCATGTGAAAATACCACATTTAATAACATATTTTTACTCCAAACTCACTTCATAACGTCAGTCGAGTGTTTGAAATAAATGCTTCTGTGAGATGACGTGGCTTCTTACACAGAATAAAAAATATAAGAAATATTTCATAGTATTTAAGCAGTGATAAAGGAATTGCATTTGCATTATAAATATACTTTATTTGAATGAAAATTATAATAATAAGAACTCAGATAAACCGTATATTGCCGTAGTCGTGTGTTTACTAGTCACGTTGAATCAATGAAAGCAGTTGAATCTTCTGTTTATTCAGTTGCAGCGATAGGCATTTTCTGGGTTTCTTCTGCGAGGCGTATTGGAGTTTCAGCGCGAGAGCGCCCTCTGGCCTTTGGATGGATATTTACTGCTGATCACAGAACCGTGCTTCACTGAAAGATACGCACGACAATCGCAGCTTCTGTCGAATCGCAATCTCGATTCCATTTCGATTTATCGTGCAGCCCTAGTGCTGCGATCGTTTCGGCGCAGAATCTATTTTGCTTACGCTGAATTAAAGCCACAGTGTATTGTTCTTGATCAAAATTGACCTGATTAACATGAAAAATAACCAATTTCACCATAAAATCATGTAAGTGAGGTGTTACGTGTTTCACAATCACCATATGAAAAACAAAATGCACAAAAACACATCACGAGTTTTTGCCCAAACTTCAAAGGTCTGTTAAATGAATAAAACTAGAGGCATTTGTTAACTTTAAGATTACTTTTTATCATGTAAACTACCTATATGCAGCATGTTATTTACATATGTGTGTGGGACAGAGGGAGGCACGGCCACATCGCAGCAGAGTATGCTGGCCATATCATACATCATAGCACATGAAAAAATACTATAGTAATTTATAGTAAATACTATAGTGTTTTTGAACCATACTATAGTTGCTGTGGTAATATAACAACTATGGCAATATAAACAAATTTCTTTACCCAATACTGTGCTAATTTTCTACAACTATAGGGTATATTATTACAATACACTAGTTTACTGTAGTAAAAACTAAAGTATACTACTGTATTTATTACAATCAGTTCACTACAGTTAATACTACATGCTGTAGCATTGATTAACAAAGTGTTGTAAATAATACTATAATATAGACAGTATAATATACTTTACTATAATATGTTTCAAAAACACCATAGTATTTACTATAAATTACTATAGTATTTTTTTCATGCACACAGTGTTCAAAGGAGAACGCTGGGAAATATGACAGAAATTACGATACTCGCCTGTATTGCAGTACACAAGCCAAGCGCGGTTCAGCTGCACGCGACAAGCCGTTTGTGTGAAGCGCATCCAGTGTGAAACAGGCGTAAGTAATTCAGTCTTTCATTCAAACGATTCGTTCAAATGGCTGATTCATTCAGAAATGAAGCAAGTGACTGGCTTTTTAGTTTAACTCTTTCTATTGGCGGTTTTCAATCAGAGTTATTACAAGTGAGGAAAAGAAAAACCATACAACACTGGTTTCACAACATTGAACAAGACAAATCTAGATGGTATTAAACACATTCCTTGCTCTCTGAACCAAGTTCAGGAGAAAAGAAAAAAAAAGAAAGAGAGAATTAAAAAAAGAGAGGGGAGGGGGGGGGGTTTATAATCCAGAAACATACAAATGTACTACAACACAATTGTAATATACAAGAATTACGCTGCCCAGTAATAAAATTAAAAATTAGAAAAAGCAGATCCGCCTAATCTTTTGGGTTGCTGGAGAAAACATTTCTGACTCTTTTTTTTTTTAAGTCTTATAAAAAAAGTTTTTGGTATAAAGACCGAAATGTCTTGAAATAAGAAAATAAATTTAGGCAATATATTCATTTTTATTGCATTAATTCCACCTACAAGCGATAGTGAAAGAATTGTCCACCTAGCAAGATCCTGTTTCGTTCGATCCAAAATTGGAATAAAATTATGCTTGTAAAGATCTACTTGTTTTCTCGTTACTATAACTCCCAGGTAACGAAAATAATCTGAGGCTAATTTAAATGGGAACGCTGATACTGAAAGATACCGAATTAATTGGGAAGAACTCTCCTATTTAAGTTTAATTTATAGTCCGAAACACTACTAAACTTTCAAAATATCCAAAACATAAGGAAAACAGGCTTCCGGATTTGAGACGTACAACACTACATCGTCAGCATAGAGAGAATTTTTCTGTTCTTCACCTGCTCTAAAAATACCAGATATATATTGTGATTAGAACGAAAAGCTATTGCAAGAGGCTCTATAGCTATAGCGAACAAAAAAGGGGACAGGGGGCACTCGTCCCACGGTAAAGTGAAAAATATTCAGAGCTTATACCATTTGTTTTCACAGATGCCAAAGGGGAAGAATATAAGAGTTTTACCCAGGACACAAATTTATCACCAAAACCAAACTTTTTTAATGTATAAAAAAGATAGTCCCTTTCAGTGGGGTCAAAAGCCTTTTCCGCATCGAGAGAGACTTAGACCTCCGGTATTGATAAATCTGACGAGGTATAAATTATGTTCATCAACCTTCTAAGATTAAAGAAACCCTGTCTGTTTTTTATAAAGGCCATTTGGTCAGGGTGAATAATGTCTTGCACAATTGTTTCCAACCTTAGAGAGAGAACCTTAGCCAAAATATTCACGTCAACATTAAGGAGGGATATTGGATGGTAAGACCAATCGTTTTTTATTGGGTTTCAAGATCAGTGAAATTAATGCTTGATGCATGGAAAAGGGTAAACTACCATTATTTAGGGATTCTTCGAAAACCAAAAAAAAGCAATGGAGAAAGCTGAAGAAAAAACTTTTTAAAAAACTTAGCTGGGAACTAGGGCTGCACGATTTGGGAAAATTTTCATATTGCGGTTATTGAGGTCAATATTGCGATATGCGATTGCGATTATAATAAATGGTATCGTGAGTCAACTTGATGGGTTTTTAAGGAAAATGCACACACAGATTAGTGATAATGCTAAAATGTGTATTTGTAAAACTAGAAATGTTTTCAAAATAAATTATTTTTACAAAATGAAATAATATTTGCAATAATGTAAACTAAATTAAATAAAATAATAAAAACATACACATTTTCACAAAAATAAGATATTTTAAACATTTTGTCCAAACAAACAGGGTCATTTACGCAGAATGTAACATACTCTGTATACTATAAACTCTTTTGAAAAGGAAACTGGATATAAAATTGTGGTTCACTCAATCAAACTCAAACCACTAAATCTTTTTTTTTTTTTTTTTAAATGACCAACTGGTACTTCTAAATCCTCTTTCTAAACAGTTAAACTTATCATATTAGAGGTTCTTTGCCAAAAAGACAAGCATATCCACTTTCTCTGGTTTCAGACTTGTTTACAGATTCCAAGACCTCCAGGTCCTGCCATGAAGGGAGTAGGTGTCGTACTTTGCGGTCTGTGGAGAGAACCTTGGACAATGCACTTTGCTGCTCCAGGACTCTTGCTATCATTTTCTGAGTGGAACCCCATCGTGTTGAGCAGTCTGTCACCATGGCATGCTCTGGGAGGTTGATCTCTCGTTGTGCTTCCCTCAAGGCCACTCTTTTCTTCCAGCTATGGGAGAAGTGGCCCACAATTTTCCTGCATATCCCA